TTCGTTAAGTATGGAATCTTGGTGAATGGGTCTCCCATTTACTTCAAACCAGTGATCCCACACCGTATATGTGATCGTTCATTCTGTGCATTGATGTAACACAATTTGAATCGTGTGTAGATCTTGGTTGAAATGGTTTTGTGATGGAAGATATGGAGCAACGGAGAAGGTTTTCTTACATTTTGGGGTCTATCAGTGATTGTCTGTACCTCGCATTGCCCAGCCCCGCGGCCGACCACTCACAACGCTGTGGAGAGGGTCGTAAACGACTGCCGATACCCCAGAAGAAGTGTGCCGCTGTTTGGCGCCAGTGTAAAACACTATATCACAATTAAATGTTTCGCACATGAAGGATAGCCAAACACGTACACAGTGTACCTGAGAAAAATGACATAACTCATTTCTGTTGGCTTTCTTTGTCTGCCTACAGCACCGAACACGTAGTTTGTTTCAAATTGTTTTGTTTCATCGAATTCGAACTCTATAGACGCGAGTGCCAAGTCAAATTAAGCAGCCTCAATCAGCTTGAAACTACGGGTTGTGTGACGTCACGTATGGACAAACTAAAATTGGTATGATTAGCTTCTTATTTGGCTAATGAGGATGGGAGGAGGGCAGGCATGTTGTATTATTGAGATCCACGTTTCGGTCCTCAGTGGAGGCAAAGGACTCGCAGTGCCAATAGGATCCAATCATGTTGAAACTGCTGCTTAGTACCCCGTGTTAGATGAAATACCTTACGAAAGCGAATTATATCTTCTTGTATACCCTCACATGAGCTGTACGTCAGCAATTACTAACTGTGATATGTGTTCAAATATACTCTTAAAAACAAAACACTTCATTTTTGGCCTTGATTGGTAAGTTTATGTTTTTTTATTGGCGTTCTCCTCACTGGGTTCATATGGAACTATTACTAGGACCAATCTGGAAACCTGACATAGGTGCGAATGACGATGATCGTTGGCCAGCACTTGACTAACAATCCAATAATAGTCCACCCCAGTAATTGTCCCGGTTGATGATTCCCGGTCGCCACAATTCTAAAGGTCCTCTGGTACACGGTTGATTGCTGATGTTCATTGTGAGCCAGTCAAAACAAATTAAATTTTAATTCAACAAAGGTGGTTTGTGCTACATCGTGTAAATGGAAAACGGAATCTTTCAGTGTAGAATTTTTTCCGTGCATTTATTCCAGTTTTTCAGCCGGACTGAGCTGCAACATAAGCCGAATAGATCAATCTTCTCAGACATCTCGTCCTTATGAGGACCCGTTGAGCGTTGGGTGTGCATTGACAACCGATTCATGAGGACTAACTACCTCTGCCAAGAATGCACCTTGTGATGCCATGCTTCCACACCGATCGATGGATCATTGAGTCTCTCGAAAAATCACACAGATTGGTTCTCTGAATTTGTCCCCACATGTGTGATTCTATCAGCCTTGAAGTGTAAATTATTACCCATATGTGAAAAACCCACGGCGAGACTCTGTACATCCAAGAGATGGAACGATTGATTGCTGATCTGACACAACACATTGCAAGTAAAGTACGGGTTGTTTCATAATTTGGGCAGAACACCAAATTTATGAGAGAAAAGAATTTAGTTGAAGAAGCGAATCCCCGTGTTAGAGATTCCGGTGGTCAAGTTCATCATTAATATTTTCGAGGACCCACAACAGGAGTGTAGCAGGCAAACTGTTACGGCTTCTTCACTCACACCCTGCGTTTGACAACAAACCTGTCTTGTGATCGTCCGCGAACCCTATAATGGAGATCGAATACCTCAATCACGTGAGTGTCTCTATTGTTCCGGTGCTCAGCCAGGCAAGGTGCTGTTCCCAAATCCCTTTTTCAAAACCTTCCAACAGAGAGGCCTGTTGAAATTTACCGCACCGGAACAAGTACTGGAGTATACCAGTTGCGGAAGTTATTGAATGTGCAGGTATTGACGGAACTGGTGCAATAGAACGGTAATTTTGTAAATGTATTTTATATTCCATTATCATACTTGCATATTGAAAGCTATTGATAAAGAACATCTATTTCGAACGTTATCCCCCAACTGCCATGTTTTGAATTGTCTACTTTGAACGAACGAGCTCGTTTTTGACAACTTTTATCTTCGGGAAAATGCAGTTATATAGCTAAGTTGAAATTGAACTGTGCGTCAATGTCTACGTGTGATTCGTCGTTTGTGATTGCGTTTGATGTGCATTTGGGAAAGGGTGGGTACGGAGGATGTGTTCATAAAAAGATTGGGAAAACGATTTGGATACGGACATGTCATCATGTGTTTTGGTCGCGGCGTCATGGGAAAGATCATTCACCGTTTCCCAAATACATCAAAAACAATCACAAACGACGTAGGGGTTGAGGCACATTGTATTTTCAATTTGACTATATAACTGCATTAGTCCGACGATAAAGTTGTCCAAAATGAACTTGTTCACTAAAAAAAAACACTGTGTTCTTTGCTTTTACTTCTGGAGTTCTCGCGATCTCCAGTGTCACGATAAATTCTGTTGCAAATCGAATGTCGGGACTCAAAATTAGAAAACTTTCGATGCAATTAACTGAAATGTGAGCTCCATTGCTTGCTAATGTTGTGTACAACACAATACAATACAATACACAACGGCAGGGAATCTCGTTATTTAAAATGAACAATTATTATCTAAATATAAAAAGTAACACATCTTATTCTGTCCATTACACAGAAAATATGTCAATAATTCATCGCGCGCTATTCTCATCACGTGAAATCTCTCTCGCCCGCTCTCCATAAAGAGAGTAAAAATATATTCAAAACATTATGAAGATTGATCCGTAAAAGTGAGCCATAAGATATATGTGTGTGTGGCCGATTGAATAAGCCGTCTGTAACGTCACTGTACTAAAACCGAATGAACGATCAATCTTCATAATGNGATCCCAGGATTCGTTTAGTGGAGAAGTGAAGCATATGGATGGCGTATAGGGGAGATGCACAAAACGAGTATCTCACTCCCTGACTCGTGCGGATACTTCGATGGAAACCGAAGCAGAATTTGTTGTATAATCAAGGGAATTTCTCCAGCAAGACATCGATGTGGAGGCAAGATGGCGATTATATTTGGTCGCAGCTGAGAAAAACTGCAAACAATCACCATCAAGGATAGTAGGTGTGGATTAGTTGCAATTCTGTGTACACCGCCGATGGAAGGAAACA